GTCAGTGAGAAAGAGACAAATCCTTACCATCCACACACTGAGGATTTCTTGAGCTCAGACACACCAAAAGACATTGAGCCCATGAAATCATTACGGGTGGTTCTGTCCCAGTCCCACACCTCCACAGACAGCCGACGGTCCTTATCTGCTGGCTTCAGTTTACTGGAACAGTCAGACAGGTAGACAGACACACACACACACACACACACACACACACACACGGACCAGGAGGATGAAGCATTGCATTAGTGCTCTCTCCATCATATTCTAAAAAAAGGGCTTTTCAGCTGCTCAGGGGCCAGATTATTCAAATGAAAACTCAAGAGAAGCTAAACATTTTTTATAGTAACTATTAACTATATCACTTTCATTGTAAATATTAACATGAAAACACAAACTGAATAGCCTAAGTATTTAAAATAGTGAGGGTATTACGATAAAGTTTAAGATTCGCAAAAAAATTCCTTCAAAATGTGAACATGATCTCACACCTAAAGGTTGAGTCTCATCTTTATAAAAAGACTGTCTTCATGTATGTAGTTTTAGGCACACATTATGAACACACGATGACACACATTGGTTAAACATTTAAAGCGTAGAATATAAGCAAACATTTCCACAAATATTAATTCCTCGTTACTGAATTTTAAAGGTGCACTAGGTAACTTTTTCTTTTTTTAATTAACTAAATGTATTTAATGAGCGAGTACATAATGAATACAAATTGTGTTTTTGTCTTATCCTAAATCACTATGGTGAGACTCTAATAAGAGCCCCTTCCTGTCCTAGCTTTTACTAATTTGAACGATGAGTGAAACCTTGTATAACAGGCACTTCTCGTGTTTATTGCCATCTTATGGTAAATCGCTTGTTGTATTCCTCAAATGTACAGTAAGTCGCTTTGGATAAAAGCATCTGCCAAATGAATAAATGTAAATGTAGACCTGCCGGGACAATCCCTGCTGGAGAACCCTAGTACCTGCATGACCTTCATTTCCATAAACAGAGAGAAGTAGCTCCAGCTACAATTTTTTTTGTTGTTGCATGAAGCATGGTTTTATTTATTAACCGATAGAGCCCCAACAATTAGATAGTGTACCTTTAATTATTTCATTTTTATTTACAATGTCATCATCATCCACCTGTGCAGATGCATCACTGTATCAGTTGCTGTGTTTATGACGATTTGTTCACAGTCAAGTTATTTGCATAAATATGTTTGAATGGATAAGATGTGATTGAATGTATGCACCTAAATGGTGCTGATTCTAGTGCTTTTCTTTGCCACCACCTATCACTTAGGCTGCTTCCCCACCATAGAAATAGATCAGCAGTCAGCCCATTAAAACAATTCTTTACCCAATAAGGATAGGGATGGGGGACGGATTATAATAGCATATAGTACAGATCATATCACAGAATTAAATGTGCCCCCACACCGATTATATTCAATGATTTGAACTTAGGACCTTATATCGATTTGAACACAGATCTACTATATGAAAGTCACTCTATAGAAAAGCCATATATTAAAATTGATGATACAGTATACCTGTACGGAAGTGTATTTTATAGAGCCAGTAATACCATGTTGTGTAAAAATCTATAAATAATAAAATGCGTATGCACATACAGTAAAACTAACAGCAATGACACATTAATCCTAAATATTAGGCTGTAATTAAATGTTGCGACTCACAATGTAAATGACTCGTTCCAAGCTGGATTCAGGGAAGAACGGATGGTTTTCGTTTTCTGTTTCGTCTCATGTTTAGGGTCTGGAATCAACTTGAGTTTTACATATGGATCAGACAATCCATTCGGGTCCATTGGAATCAAGTTCTTGCCTTCCCCAACTGCAACACAACATGCCAAATAAGAGATGACATCAGAACATGTATTAATAAAATAAATAAAACATAGGTAAATAACAGAGGGCAGGTAATGACACTGAAGTCTCAGGGTAACGTAACTCCACATAAACTATGAACTGTGACATAATAATAAAGAAGTGGCTTTAAACGATAATTAATATGCAATATGAATTGACTATGAATGTTAGCAACTGGATTAAGTATCATAATCAGGGTACAAAACACTCCAGATCAGGGTCATACTGTCATTTAAGTCCCCACCAGAATAGAAAAACAGGTACACACACACACACACAATGCATAAGACAACACGAAAAGACCTGCTACACATTTCCTTTACTCAAACCCACAGAAAGGTTAGACTTTGAATATCTAAATATGTCATAACCAACAAGGCCAATGCAAACATGTGGTGCGACTAACATTTATATCACTGAATACAATGAAAAACATGGGGCACAATAAATTAATAAATAAATAGTGGAGGATCTGTCGAAGGACTTTAGTCTGTGAACTCACACAGACTACATAACACACTGTCTGAAAATGCAAATATCAACATTTGACTACCTCAGTGCCTGAACTGCTTATGTTTGACAGGTAGGAGGCGCCCTACACTTTAATGACCCAACATGTCTCTGTGTTTGCTTCTCTCTCTTTAAATTCATTCATTCAATTTAAAAACACTTTATTGCAATGACATTACACATACAATACCACAAACCATAAATTCCAAATCCAAGAACACTAAATAGAGTGAAAATACAACAATAACATATAATAGCAACAATAAATCAGTTAAAAAGAAAACAAACAGCAAGATAGCTATTGACAAGATATGCTTCTGAAAGGATGTAAAGATGTGGTCCTCATTTCTGAGGATGTGGCATTCTAAAAACATAACCACAGCACAAACCTCATCTGACCAGGAAATATTTTGCCTGGCACAGCTCAAATGTAGCCAGGTGTGTGAAAGTCAATGTAGACTCAAACATCACATGGAAGTACAGTACACAATATGGCCAAAAGTATGTGGACATCCCCTTCCAGTGGTGCCAAATCTTAATGCTGGATCACACAATGACATTTTAGAGAATTTTGTGCTTCCAACTTTGATGCAACCGTTTGAGGAGGGTCTTTATACAAAATGACAATGCCTGTGTCTAAAATGTAAGGTCCATGTAGAAATAAAATTACTTTGTCATGTGTGGAAGAACTTAATTTGGCCCTGGCCTGAAGTCCTACTGAGCACCTTTGAGATGAACTGGAACAATGAGCCAGGACCCATCACTCAGAGTGTCTGACCTCCCTGTAACCTTGTGTCTTGTTGTTCACAATCTAATTTCAAAAGCATCAAAACAATCATGCTTTCATAACAACTTCCAGTCTTCTTGAAAGCCTTTCTGCTAGATGTTGTACAAGGATTTGCTGCCATTCAGAAACAATAGCATCAGTGAGGTCAAGCATTGATGTTCGCGTTTGCCATTCCAATTTATGCCAAAGATGTTCAGCTGGCTTCAGGTCTGGGCTTTGTCCAGGCATTTCTATTCCTTCCACACCAGAATCGGTAAAGCATTTCTACAGTATACGGACCTCAGTGAGCTTTGGCACACCATTACACTGTCGCCAGATTAACTGTTGTCCTTTCTTGCACCACTTTTGGTCCTAACCACTACATACAGGAAACACCCAATAAGATTTCCATTTTGGAGATGCTTTTACCCAGTCGTCTAGCCATCACTATCTTGTCACTCAGATCTTCTTGCTTTTGCATTTTTCCTGCTTCCAACACATGAAATTCAAGAATCGACTGTTCACTTGCTGCCTAATATATCTGATATATTCAATATAATCAATGTTATTCTCTTCATCAGTGGTGTCAGTGGTTTTAATATTATGGCTGATCTGTGTATAGGGACATTGCCATACTGGAATAGAATTGACAATATTAATGGTAACACTTTGATAATGCATTAATTAACATGAACTAACAATGAACAATATATTTATTAATGTTAGTTAATTAGTTAATGTTCATGTTAGTTCACAGTGCCTTAACTAATGCTAACAGATACGACTTTTGATCTTAAAAAAATTATTATTAAATGTTGAGATTAACATTAACTAAGATAAATAAATTCTGAAGAAGTACTGTTAATTTGTATTTCATGTTAACTAATGCTAGCAAATGAAAACTGAAAAGTGTTACCACATTTGATGCAATCATATATTTCCTCAGTTTTTCTTAAAATTAATCCATGAATTCTCAACTTTTTTTGGCAGGTGACTATACATGTTTTCACTGTGATTTGTGAACTTGTGAACACTTAAAATTAAAACTCAAGCAAAGAAAGAGTTAACACACACACACACACACACACGCACACACATATTTCTAGCAAAACAAGTCACCTTTATTTATATTGTGTTATATTCAATATGAATAAAATTAATTTATTCAATGTCAAAGCAGCAAAAAGGTCTGCTTGTATAAATATGTTTCTTCTCTATCTGGTCACTCCTTCTCACCTCTCCTAAAGCTTTACATGGTATATAACAGAGCAGATGTTTAATTATGTGACATTTAGCAAGCAAAATTGTTACAGATATAACACACCACATCATCATTACATTAACATAAACATATACATGTACATGTACATACTCATAAGCACATATGTGTATGCCAACAAGCAAACAAAGCCCTCTATTAGTGCACTCGCGCATGCATGCACACTCACACAGTGAGTGTGAATGCAGCCTGTGATCTATTCTTGAACTTATCAGTCTGACATTCTGCTAATGGCATTTTCTTCCTCAACCAGTGAACGTCACACAGACTAAATCACACTGCAGCTGTGTGTGTGTGCAGTTAGCTGGCACGTTGTAATCAGGCTGATTCTGCAGGTGCAGCTCCAGCACTCCAGACTCTGAATGTGTGGATCTGACCGGGGCCTTCAGGCTCTTCTACTGAAAGCAATGCTATAATACAGGAGCTCAGCTGTACAAATGCTATACATACAAAATGTAAGGTTTTAAGGGTAATATACTGGTGACAACACAACACAGAGTATCAGGGTAGCAGCGTTTGGAATTTATTTGAAAAAACAGAATACAAAGAGCATCTACAACGACACTAACCTCAGTACTGCATCCTTCATATCTCCAAAAAGTCTTTAGTTTTATCATATTTATGAAAGAAAGATACAGCTTTACGGTTCTCTCTGGAAAAAGCCAAGCTCCTGGAGGTGCGCCGTGGGCGGAGCTAAAGAGTGACGAGCACTTGGGCGCCGAATGCCAACAAAACAGACATTTGATTTGATGCCGTTTCACTTGCCGTCTGTAGTTCTGAATCATGACCGGGATCTTTTATAGCTGGGACCGCTCCATCTTTCAGTATCAAACGATGTGCAAATCCAGTGTCGAACTAGGCCTTGTTTATAAAACGTTCATCAACAAACACACTAGTTAAACTCCGTTTCTGCTCCGGGAAAAAAAACTGTATCCACTGTTTACATAATGCTGGGTTCTTTAGGAAGCTGAACAAAGTTATCTTTCCCTTACAACCAAAAACACACTTCTTTGGATTGGAGACTTTCTTCCCGAGCAAGTCCCGTGCAGCGCTGCCGCCGGATAAAGCGCGTTGATGAGCGCGATCTCGCTCTTGCTCTGGTCAATGCGTGCGCGGGTGCGTTCGTCCAGGAGAAATGCCCATATAAGGAGTTCCACCCTCGTTTACGTCAAACGTTAAGAGCCACGATCGAAAAAAACTCTCCGAAACTTGTACGAACCCAGAAGTAAGATTTTTGGCACAGAAATACTCTGTCATACGTCCAAATTGTTTTTTGAAACTTTGTCCATGCTTAGCATGATAATCCAACTCTTTAACAGTGTAAACAACTCTGAATGCATGAAACAGCATTGTACCCCCACCCCCCCTTTAAATGTCACAACGGACCGCCCACTGTCTGCTCACTGACGGACTGATTCACATTGCTGATTGGCATGCTTTAAGCAACATCCACGGCACAGTTTATATATATGTGCTGTGGATGCTGCTTACAGTTTGCATGGCCATTGTTGCAACCTGTATAATTTTTCACACACTCTAATAATGTATTGTATTTATATGTGAATGAATTTAGATCATTTTAAATGAATTACATCACATTCCTCCAAGTGGTGTGACTTCACAATAAGAGGCTCAAACTAAAAATGAAATAAAATATTGTACATTGATTATCTAGGGGAAAAAAGGAAATTATTCATTATTATTCTGTAATGATCTTTATTTTTTGACAATTATGATATGTAGAAAAAAAAACTCTCAACTGATTTTTATAAAGTACAAGCACATTTGTGCCAAATGTACTGTGAATATGCAATATAACATTTAAACTGTAATATAGTGTGTGCACAATTAATGTTTACATTATATATGATTATTTTCCATGTCAATGATTCTTTTATCTTAACTGTTACAGCTCATTTGGTTTCTATTCATATTTTTGATCAATATTTTTGCTTTTCTTTATGTTACCTTTATGATGTCCCCAATTATGGTGCATTCCTAAACAGCACACAGTATAATGAAAGCAAAGCATGCACTAACAAAAGAATACAAGTGTATTGGGACAGAACAGGTAAAACTGGATTTAGAAACCATAGCAACACAATGTAAAGAGATGCATTTTCAAGTTGAGTTTTGAATTCAAAAGGTAAAAAGGTCATGGAGAGATTATGTGAGAGAATTGTCAACTTGAACACCATCAGCATTAGCAGACACTTTATGGTAAAAACTACAGGTAGTTTCTGAAGCAACTTATAAGTCATTTGACTAACAATACATTTTATGTGCTTTTGAGGAATTTGCTGGTCATTCAAATCTTGACATTGTGAAAGGAGCAGGGCAGAGAGTTGGGAACTAATGTCCAGTTGACATTAAAAAAAGTTAACGTTTGTTTGTAATCAGCATAGCCTTG